TAATCTGTTCTAGTGCCATCCATTTCCCTGCGAATTCCATGATTTTGTCATTTTTTAATGCAGAATAATACTCCATGGTGTATAAATGCCACATTTTTTTAATCCATTCATCCATTGAAGGGCATCTGGGTTGGTTCCACAGTCTAGCTATTGTGAATTGTGCTGCTAATACAAGAGCTCTTATGGAAAAGAACTCACAAACTTTTTATTCAACATATAAGAGGTCATTCAACTCTACAAGGACCACTTAGTGAGAAAAATGCTTCCGCTGATTTAGCCTCCAAAATGTCTGCCTTTCTATCTATGGATCCCCAAACTTTACATTCTCAGCTTCACCTTCATGCTTCTTCTTTAGCTCATCATTGTAAAATTTCTCGTGAAGCAGCTTCTCAAATTATTCATGATTGCTCCCTCTGCTCTGCACGGATACACTCTCCTAATTTTGGCATTAATCCTAGAGGCCTTTTACCGGGTCATTTATGGCAAATGGATGTTACTCATTATCCTTCTTTTGGCAAATTAGCGTATGTTCACGTGTCTATAGATACTTACTCTCATTTCATTTATGCTTCTCCTCATTCAGGGGAAAAGATCAAAGATGTAATTGCTCACTGTATGGAAGCTTTTCCTATTATGGGTCTCCCTAAACATATTAAAACAGATAATGGACCAGCATATACTAGTACATCATTTGCAAGATTTCTTCACACTTATGATGTAAAACACGTATTCCTTATAATCCTCAAGGACAAGGTATAGTTGAACGAGCTCAACAAACTCTTAAAGCATATCTGTCAAAAACAAAAGGGGGGAGTAGCAGCAGTCCCCCCTCTCGTTTAGCACATGCATTATTTATTTTAAATTTTTTAACTGTAGACCCAGCTACAAAACTGAAAGCTGCAGATCGCTTATGGTATGCTAAGGGACAAACAGCCTATCCACTTGTAAGGTGGAAAGATGTTTTAACAGGACAATGGATGGGTCCTGATCTTGTATTAATGTGGGGAAAAGGAGCTGCCTGTGTTTTTCCACAAAATGATCCTGGACCTTGATGGATTCCTTCTCGTTTGATACAATTTGATTCTTCTAAAACTACATCATGAATGCTTTTACCTCTTTGGTTTGTTATATATTTCGTAGATGCTGTCCCTAATTTTTTTTTCTCCTTTTCGGAGCTGTGGAAGTTGCCTCTTTCAATCATACCAATGTGTGGCTGAGATTGGCTCCATTGGCAGGGACTGATAATATCTGCCTAAAACAAGATGTCCATCTGGGAGCAATATTGGTTCCTGTTTACTACCTGTCTGTCATCCAGCAGAAGAAATAAAAAATGTAACTTTTTTCTCCAATTTTGATAAAACTATTACTTATGCTGATTACTCTATTTGGGGCACCCCTTCTTATCGCCTACTCCAAAGTGCAGTTCAAGTTATAACCACTACTGTTATTGTAACAGATAATGACACCTGTGCTGAGTTTCACAATTGTGCAACTAAATGTAGATCTATGGGACCTTCCTTTGCATGTAATAATTCCTTTGCGGTTCCTTCAAGTTATGGACATGTGCCACTTCCAAGAGGCTGGTTTTTTTCCTGTGGAACTTATACATTCAACTACATACCAGGAAATATGACTCATATAACACGTTGCTGTCTTAATCTTCTCACAGTTTTCTTTCCCTCCATTGGTGATTTGCTTTCTGAACATCCTTCTCGTCACTTACGAAGAATGGCTACACTAACATCAAACTGTAAGGACGATATAAACTTATTATCCAAAGCAGAGTTTGATGCATTGACCTTTTCCCTTGTGGGGATCCCTGGATTGGCAGTAGGAGCTTATAAGACAGCTATGAAATTGGCACGTGTAATGGCAAAAAACATTAATCATACATCTACTGCTCTAGCCTTGTTGAATGAAGAACAGCAGGTTTTATGACGAGGAGTTTTGGATAATACAGCTGCTATAGATTATTTACTATTGGTACACCATAAAAAATGAATTCAAGTAAAAAATATGTGTTACTTTAATCTGACTGATAACAGTGTTCCTATTGATACAGAAATTCATCATTTGAAAGAAATGATTGATAATATCAGACAATATGAAGGAAATGAAGAATTATTTT